GAATTGCAATCCCTTGTAGCTGGTCTAGGGTTTTACACCAAAATCAGGAAGAACTGGAGAAAGGGGGAGAGTCTTGATTTAGTAGGACTCTTCGACTTTGACCAAGGAAGTGGTGCTCTAGTTTTCTAGGGTTCCTTGAGGTTTTTTGAAGGGGGTGGTTCAAGTCCCAGCCTTTTTGGAGGTCTCTAGAGGGAGCTACAACCTCTACTACTCTCTCTTCTCCCGCTCCCATGGAAAAGGGAAACTTTGGAGGGAGGGACTTATAGGGCTCTAGGAGGGTGTTTGAGGTTTCCAAAGGAGATAAATACCCTTTTTTTTCATCTCAAATTGATTTCCTAATAAATTCTGGGAGTTATAAAGGGTTGTGGAGTTGAAAACAAATTTACAGGAGAAATGAGATCAGGGAGAGGAGGTGTTGGAGACCTCTTCGGGGTCGGGACCATCACTACAGTCAAGTTGGATGGTGCAAACTACTTAGAATGGTGACAATCTGCCAAGATGGCCATTGGTGCTCATGGGAAATTGAGGTGATGACTTTGCTATGCAATTCCATATTGGCCCATATAAGTAATAATTTTTTATGGGCTAACACAGCTAAGGAGATTTGGGATGGAGTAGCAAAAGCCTATTCACAGAATGAGAATGTTGTTAGAGCCTATTAGTTGAGAAACAAAGTGATTGCTACTAGGCAGGGAGATAAATTTGTTGCTATTTATTTTTCAGCCCTCAAAACCTTATGAGAGGAGATAGATCATTTGGAGATTGTGGTTTGGAAAAGTGGCAAAGATGCAACAACTTATCAAAAGCTGGTAGAGAGGAATAGGGTTTTTGAGTTTTTAGCTGGACTTAACCCTAAGTACGACATTGCACGATAGCATATTCTTTCTCGAGACAGTGTAACTCTCTCTCTCTCTCAGGCATATGCCTTTGTGTCTGGAGAGGAGAAGGTGAATGTGATGATGAGGAACCCAGGCCTTGAGCAGTTATGGTTAGCACAGTGAAGCCTAAGCCAGGTGGGGACAAGGGTGGAAATGGACTGAGGAAGGAGGACAAAAAGGATTTGTTATGTGACTACTGTAAGAAATCCAAACATACAAGAGATACTTGTTGGAAGCTTTACCCACACCTTGTATTGAGCCGGCTCAAAAATAATAAGCGAAATGTGAATATGGCAATAACTGGTGATTTATCAGGGCCACCTACTACAACGTCACTAGAGTCTGTTGTAGCAGCTGTAGTGAGAACCGAATTGGAGAGATATGAGTAGTTTCTGAATCAGAAGGATACAACCAACTCCAACTCATTATCAGGTAGACAACAAGGTGCAGGTGGATCAGTAGGTAGTCATTCTACTTGGTTTGTACACACAAGTAGTTCACACGCCACTGCAAATTATGTAACCACTACAGGTAAGGGGGGACCTCCCTAGATTATAAACTCAGGAGTCTTAGAACATATGACCAAAGTTCCAACATTTTCACCTCATACCACCTCTGCTCTGGCAGAGATAAGAGTTTCCACAACTGATGGATCACATGTTGAAATTTCTAGGAAAGGGTCTATCAAGATAACCGATACCATTACCCTACCTTCTGTCCTTCGTTCCCCTAGATTGAGGACTAATTTCTTATTTGTTAGTAGCTTGACAAAGAACTTGAACTGTTCATTGATTTTTTTCCCCTGGTTATTGTGTTTTGCAGGATTTAGAATCAAAGAGGACGATTGGGAGTGGTCGTGAGGTGAATGGAATCTATCTTCTTGATGCGCTTCCCAGTCACCAAAGTCATCATGTCAGCAAGAGTATTGAATCAAATTCAGTGGGTCAGATTATGCTTCGGCATAATCGGTTAGGACATTTGTCTTTTGCTTCTTGGTGTTTTTTGTTTCCAAAATTATTTGAGTCTGTCAGTTTGTCTAGTTTGGAGTGTGAGGGTTGTCAACTTGAAAAGCATTGTAAACATTCCTTTAAAGCAAGTAACAAAAGATGTTCTTTTGTTTTTTATATTGTTCGTACTGATGTGTGGGGGACATACCATGTTTCCTCTATGGGTGGCTATCGGTATTTTCTTTTGTTTGTGGATGATTACTCTTGGTACTCTTGGATATATTTGATGAGATCCCGTGATGAAGTACCGTCTTTGGTTCAACAATTCCATCAGATGGTGCTGACACAGTTTGGGGTACGAGTGAAAGTGTTTAGATCAGACAATGCTAGAGGGAATACTTTGAAGAAAAACTGGCATCATACCTATTGGAGAATGGAGTTGTCCATCAGAGCAGTTGTACATACACTCCACAACAAAATGGTGTACAAAAAAGGAAGAGCAGACATTGTGGAAGTAGGAAGATGCATGATGTTGAGCTCTACAGCTCCAATTCTCTTTTGGGGTGATGTAGTTCTTATAGCGGTTTTCTTGATTAATCGGGTGCCTTCTTCATGTTCTTGGATATAGCACTCTGTTCAGCCTTCTTTTTCTGAGGGGGAGACATTACATATTCCTCTAAGGGTGTTTGGATGTGTATGCTTTGTCCATGTTCTTGGTCCTAATCGCTCAAAGTTGGAGCCTAAGGCGAAGAAGTGTGTCTTACTTGGGTATGCAAGAAATCAGAAGGGGTACTGTTGTTATGATCCAATCTCCGGGAGTCGGTATGTTACTATGGATGTCACCTTTTATGAGTACAAACCTTTTTTCTCGAGGAGTTCTTCTCAAGGGGAGTGTTTTGGAGGAAGTGAGCAATCTATACCACTTCCAGTTCCAGCTCCTTTACCTACTCCAGTGTCTAACCTACCTGTCTCACCCATTTTGCCACCTCCATTGGGTCCTATCTCTCAGTGTTTTACACGACATCACCTACGACAGCACTGGGATGATGATTTCTACAACAGGGGAACCCACGTCATCCCTATTGGCTCATCGGAGATTCCAGGTTCGACTGACATAGACCCAGGTATGCCTCTTGTTTCCCCTTATGGTTTAGTTCCTATTGATACTACTACACCTGCTAACACCATTGCATATGACCTAGATCCCCCTATTGCCCTCAGAAAAGGGAAGAGGAAGTGCACTGCTCATTGCATCTCACACTATCTTTCCTACAATGGATTATCCCCTTCCTATCGAGCCTTCATTTCCTCCCTTGACTCTGTCTCTATACCCAGGAGTGCTAGTGAGACTCTCTCCAAACCTAAGTAGAAGACAACAATGCAAAAGGAAATGAAAGCATTGATTAAAATTCAGACATGGGAGATTGTGGATTTGCCTGATGGGAAGGAGACAGTTGGATGCAGATGGGTTTATACAGTGAAGTACAAGGCTGATGGGAGTATAGAAAGATCAAGGCGAGGCTAGTTGCAAAAGGGTGTACTCAAACTTATGGCATAGAGTACTTGGAAACTTTTTGCACCAATGGCAAAGATAAGTTCAGTCCGGATTCTTCTATCACTAGTGGCTATATACTCTTGGACACTCTTCCAACTTGATGTGAAGAATGCCTTTCTCAATGGGGACTTGCAAGAGGAGGTGTATATGGATCTTTCGACTAGCTTCTACAATAATGTGTATATGCCTTTCTCTATCTTCCAAGCCTCCCTCTGTGGTATTCTGAAGATTGAGAGATACTAAAGAGGTAAGTTTGTTAGAATTGATTTTATTAGGGTAATCCTACTCCCCCCCCCCAACGATATGTAATTTCTCTTCCACCCCCACTAGTCTTCTTGCACACCTCTCTAAGATTGGGCACCAAAAGCTACTTTCTTTGGGATTTGCACCTAAAGGAAGACTTAAGTAAATCATAGGCCCACTAGTGGTAGAACACTTCAAATAGGCTGCTATAGATGAAAGAACTCCTTCCTCCAAGTTAATTACTGCAATACAACTCTTCTCCAAATTGATTTTTAAATTTGAAACCCTTTCTAACATTGATCAGACCTTTCAGATTATTCACCTTTCTCAATTCATTTCCTTCATAGAAGAGATCTGGTAAACTGAATATATAAAGAGATCTGGTAAATTGGGAGACTAACACTATATTACCCTTCAAATAGGGGCAGAAAACAACACTACTGCATTACCCTTCATACCTCTAAAACACCACCAATACCCAATTTCCATGGGCTGCCAAAACAACAACCATCAAAGTTTAATTTAATAATGGCTGGAGTGGAGAAAAATCTGATTGTAGCCATTCTTGACAAAAATGAATATGCTACATTCCCATTCTGAATGATATCACCAGAAGAAAAATGCTTCTGAATGATATCATCAGTAGGGAAGCAGGATTTCAGTGCAGCAATTTGAATATCTACTCAATTGGGTCAAGACATCAGCAAAAGCAGGATTTCTTGCAAGAGAAGGTGTGGATCAGATTGATATGTATTCAGGGCCCATCAAGAATCAGTTAATGAAGAAAAAAACAGTACCACTGAAATTAAAACATTTCAAAGGAAAAAGTTGCCCACATTTATCAATGAATTACGCATTATTTCTCTATTAATTGGGGTACTTTAGCTTATCTACCTTAATGTGGATGCCATGAACAATGTTTAATGATAATAGTTTGCATTGCATATAACCAAGGTTCAAAGTTTCAATACACCCCAATGCGCTGGAGGGGGTGTATTAGGTGTTTCAATCACACTATTTACTTTTTTTTTTCAAAAAATGCTTGGGGTGTTGTCTAAGGCCTGTCTGCCTTCTGAAATGTGTGAAAACCCCAAAAAACCCATATTTAGCGTATTGGTGACCAACCAATACGATACGTATAGGCCAATACGTTGCAAAATTTTGATCCTTGCATATAGCAAAAGATAAGGTAAGTCAATGAAGCAGATAAAAAGCATTCTACTAATCTTCTTCCATCTGCCAAATGATAAATACTAATTACTAGTTCACATAGACTGAAAACCTGCAACACCTGTAAGAATTTCAATCATATTATCCAAGTCTAGTATTTATTTAGTGAGCACCCATTAGGTATAATATATATATATAGAAATTCACCTGTCCAGGGATAGATGGACGCTGGGCCCGGCTGCCAGTAGCAATCAGGATATGCTTTGCAGAATAGCACAGTTTAGTACCATCTATCTGTATCACCTCAACTTCATGGGGGCCAATTATCCTCCCCTCGCCTTCAAACAATTTAACCCTAGTATTTGACAATAATCGCTTGTATATTCCATTTAATCTAACTATTTCTTGTGTCTGCAATGTCAATCAAAAATAGAAAATAAAATATATTCCTTCCAATGGTACAAATGAAAAATAAGAGAGAATACAGAAACGGGGAGGAAGAAATAGCATCAAGAGAAGAACACACGACTGGCATAAAGTTATGTTTATAAAAAACAATTAAATGGATAATTTCATCTCCAATTCCAATAATAAATAGATCAAAACTCCTATCAGTGGATCACTTATTCTGATGTCCCTTTTGTTGGCACAAAAACAACCAATTAAACAGAATTGCAAGAAAAGGATTTTAGTGTGTTTTTATTTGGGAACTCAAGTTGGAGTCAAAAACCTCCATGTAAAAGACACCTGTTGAATACTACACTATGATGGGAAGCATCTATTAACAGCTAGAACCTTGAAAGAAAAAAAAAAAACAAATACTTTCTTAATACAGTCTCATAAAAGCTTGAGCTTACCTTCAAGATTTCACAGTTAAAAGAATAGAAATCTAAAAACAAATCATAAAAAAAATAAAGTTTAGAAATGAAGAATCTGGTCATCTCATTGTATACATTTGCCAGTTCTTTTCTTTTTTCTTTTTTTTTGAAAAATGGCAAATATATAAAAGGATATGAAGATATACCTCCTTTTCTTAATGAAGTTTTATTTGATTCTTCAAAAAAAATGTAGGCTTATGCATCTTAGAAAAAACAAAAAGGAGGTATATCAAATAGCGCCCAAAGCTAGAGACCAAAAAACCATCTGCACCCAATGATCCCTGAAATTCTTGGAAGTGAGGCCTCTGAATTCATTTAAAACACAAGTCCAATGTATTGAGTGTCTCTCTGCTTTACGATGATGTTCTCCCTGTATTTGATTTTCCTATAAAAATAATTAACAGAATAAAAGCACACACCCCAATGATTCATTTTGCGTTTTGCCTTGAAATTCTCCTCTTCTCTCATCTGTTTTCTCCTCTTTTCTCACTTAAATCTATAAACATTTTTCGTATACATTGATTAGATTATACTGGTTGGTATCAGAGCAGGATTTTATTTTCTCTTTGAATGAAGTCCAAACACATCTAGGATCAGCGAAGTGTATGAAAAATTAAGTTGTCTAGTCAATAGCTCATAAACTGCCTATTTTTTGGAGAACTTTTGGAGAGTTTTGAAGCTGCTTATATGCTAGAAATTCAATCTGTTGAATTGTGCCCAAAAAATCAACAGATATATCAAAGATCATGTTGGTTGACCCCTTTTTTCACCAACTCTGTATGGCACCGGACAATGGGTTTGAGTCGGGTGGATCATCTGAACCAGGGGGTCAATCACGTGACTCTTTAAGCAGTCATGTGGCAGGGGAGGAACATTTAAAAGTTGACCCAATTGAAACAAATGGGCCAGTCAACAGAATTAGTGGGCTTCATACTTTAAAAGAGGCTGGCCCAGTTCTTAACAAGACACACACTTTAAAAGGCACATGACCAGCCTTCTGGGGCGATGATGGACGTGGTGATGGACGCGAAGTTTGGTCCATCATTGTCCCCTTTGAACACCCCTCGACTCTCTGCTACAGGAAACAGCAGACCGGCAGAGACTTCATCTTGGTTTTGGGTCCCAAGCAAAGGAAAACAAGTCGTTTCCCCAGAACGGCGCAATCCAAAATACCAGAAGTCTCCTTCGCATGATCAATCGAAGTCTTTTGAGGTTTCAAAAGCGGTGGTTTGCAGTAAAACTGAATTCATTGAAGAGGAGTTCTCGTCGGAGGAAGAGAACTGGTCAAACTCCGACACTGAGGATACAGTTAGTCTTGGAAGTGTGGATCAGCATATGTTGATGGCCTTTCTTGACAATGAAAGTTTCAGCACTGAACAATTGTTTCTAGAAGATAAAAGCTCGAGCTTGATAGAAGGTACTAGATAAAGCCCTCTCAGTACCCGGTTTCACCCAAGGAAGCAACAAATTTGGAAGGCTTTACAAAGGAGAGTCAGGGTACACCTAAACCAAAAAATAATCCCAATTCAGCAGAGCAGCACAAGCCGGTTAGCAGTGTAGTGGAACAGAACTCTCCTATGCCATTGAATGCAGATCCATCATTTGGGGAACAACTTGGAGAGGTCACTTCAGCTGCTATGGCTAACATAGCTTCAGTTGAACCAAACTTGATCCCACAGTTGCACCTTAGAGAAGGATCCATCCTTGAACCGCTTCCCCATTCAGGTCTAGTCAAACACAAGTAGAAAGGCGACCGACAAGTCTTTGATACACAACTTTATCAGGAAGGACATCTCCATCATCAACTCCCAACTTATGATTGGGATCAATTGGAGTTTCAGCTGGTTTACAATCCAATTTCCCTACTTCCTGAAGCAGATCAAGGACATATTTCCTCTGAGAAATATAAATGCCCCTCTTTGAACTTGCGACCTCAATCCCTAGTGTTGAGCAGAAGAAGAAGAAGAAAGGA